CTACATTCTGACGACTCCCACGAGTGTCTCTTGCTCTGGCCTCCCCTCTCCATGGCAGACTGATTCCCATTTTTGACTTGACATCTCCAGGGGATGTTAATTAGGCGTCCCAGACTTGTCCAAAACAGAACCTCTGATTTCTGTGCTAGACCGCTCTCAGAAAGCAGCCTTCTACCAGCTGCTGGAGCCCAGCGCCTCCAGCATCCACTCCACCAGCCAGGCCTGCTGGAGCGGATCTTGAATCTGTCTACTTCTTTAAATTTCTCTTGTAACCACCAGGTCGGCGCTGCTGTTGATTCTAACCCAGAATACTACCGCAGCCTCCTGCCCCATCCCCCTGATTCCTGCTGACAAGACATTTTCACATGTTGAGGCATATGGGGTAACTTCGGGTTCAAAACTGATTCAGCTCGAACTCAGAAGCCTGACTTAAGGCCTATCAAACATACATTGTACATCTGCTTAACCATTAAAGAATGTGCTCTCTTAAGATAAGAATACATACTTCCCCTCCTGCGCCTTATTGGTATCGCCCAGATGAGTCCCTTTCCCGACACCAGGGTCACGTTGACCTGCTAATTTGTAACTAAATACTTCTTTGAAACTTTGATGAAAATTTATCCTGGGTGTGTTTAATGTATATTGTTTGTTCTAAAAAGATATAAGACTGTACTGAAAACTCTGCCTCTCTGGAACCCTTTCTAAGGCCTTCCCAGGTTATAATCCTCACTCTGGCTCGAGTAAACTCACCTTATTTCTCTTATCTATAGAACGGTTATTGGTTGTTTTGTGTCGACACTACTTGGGCCTCCACGCCCATCAGTCCCCACGCCGCAGCTAGAGGGCTCTCTCTACAGCACATTGTCAGGTTACGTCTGTGCTTTAAACCCTCCACGGCCTCTGTTGTGGGTTGAATTGTGTCCCCTCTCCAAGTTTGTATGGGGGAGTCCTAACCCCTCGTACCTCAGAATGTGACATTTGGAAATAGGGCCATTGCAGATGTAATTAGTTAAGATGAGGTTACACTAGAATAGGGTGGGCCTCTAATCCAACAGGACTGGTGTCTTTATAAAAAGGGAAAGTTTGGACACTGACGCACACCGGGAGAACGCCGTCTGAAGGTGAAGGCAGAGATCGGGGTGACGCATCTACAGGCCAGGGAACCCCAAGATTGCCAGCAAACCACCTGAAGCCAAGGGAGACGCCTGAGACAGACCCTTCCCTGCCACCTTCAAAGGGAGCACAGCTCTGCTGACACCTTGGTTTTGGACTTCTGGCCTCCAGAACTATGAGACAGTAAATTTCCATTGTTCTAAGCCACCCAGGTTGTGGATACACTTTCTTTCTGGCCACCTGTGGTTGCAGGCGTAGGTTTGAGGGGAGAGAAGTTAGTGGAGACTTCCGGGAAGGCTCCCAAGAGGAGGATGGCCTCATTGATGGGGGGGGCGGTGCAGGGGGGCACTTGAGTGTGTGTTCCTCAGACTCTCTCAGGAGGATGGTGGGGGAAACGGGATGCATGAAAGGACCCAGGATGGGTGTGGGCTGGGGGGTGGGGGAGGGTGGAAGGGCAGAAGAACACGTTGTAGACTGATGACTGAGCACCCAGGCCTTGGTCTCATTCATATTGGGTGTGGGAGGGGAGGCAGCGCTTGCTGAGGCTGGGCAAAGCTGAGCTGGGCAGAGGACGTTGTGTTCATTGAGATGCAATACAACCAGGGTGTGCTGGAAGGAGGTGGTCTCGTGGCAGTAAGAGGAAGTGTTTGCCGGAAAGAGTCAAGTGGATGCCACTCCCTGTCCTGGCATCCCCAGCCCGGCAGCCTGAGGAGGGATGTGGCTCTGGTCCCTAGAGAGGAGACTTGGGAGAGTCAGATGTCACTCAAAGCTGGCTAGGGCTCTACAGACAGCCAATGCCAGGCCCAGAGAGGGGACCACAGAATCCTGGAGAGCATGAGCAGAGTCCAAAAGTCCCCATTTCACAGAGGGGGAGACCGAGGCTAGAGATGCAGTGAGCCACAACATGCAGAATGTGGGAAGAGAACAAGGGTAGGGGTGTGGAGAGAAGAAGAAGGTGAAGAAAGGGAGAGGGCAGGGGAGAGAGGGATCAGAAAGGGAGAAGGGAGAAGCAGGGAGAAAGAAAGGAGAGAACAGGGGGTGGAGGGATGAGAGGGAGCTGGAAAGATCCCCGACTAAGGCCCATCACTAAGGAGCCAGGGCAAGGGTGTCATTCCTACTAGTAATAAGATGGCAGCTCCAGGTGACGTCGCATTGGGAGTCTGTCTAAGTGATGACTGAGTTCAGGTCAGTGAACCAGCCCTGCCCAGCCTCCCTCCTCCTCTTTCTGCCCCCATCCTCTTCATTTGCCCTGTCAGCCTCCAGGCTGGCCCCCAGAGAAGGCCCTGCCTCCTGTGGGTGGGTTTAGGCCAAGGAGGCCCCAGGCCTAGGGACAGGCTCAGGTGTACTTTCCCCCACTTCCCCATCCTGTTTCCTCCTTTAGAGAAGAGCTGGCCAGCATCTGGGCTAGGGGGCCAGGAGCCCCCACTGCTCCTGGCATGAGCTCAGGGCAGGACAAAGTCCAAGACTTGGAAGTTTGAATGACATCTACAGGGCCTGACACAGGCCCCCACCTCTGCCTCCAAGCTCCCTTCTCTCCCAGAATGACCAACCTTTGGTTTCTGCCTTGGATCCCCTCCCTCCTTCTCTGGGGGCAGATGAGGGGCAGAGGGAGCTCCTAGAGGGTCCCACCAGGACGCACTGTCATCCTCTGACCACCTGAGCCCCATCCCCACAGCCATGGAGCTCAAAGTGGCAGAGTTGGAAGGAACCTTAGCGGTTCCAACTCTTTCCCTCTAAGGGGAGAAACTGAGGCCAGAGAAGAACAGAATTGTCCCACGGTGCATGGCTGTTTCACGGCAGGATTAGAATCTGGGGCACCCAAAACCCCATCTTGTGCCTATGTGGCTCCAGCAGTGGCCCCTCTCCTGGTTCTGGGACGCCTGACAGCCCTGTGACATCCTCAGGGCACAAGGCGGGGGTGGGGTGATGCCAACATGGGCAGGACAGAGTTAGAGAGAGCGGAGACTTAAGGCATTCATCTCGTCTCATGTTACATGAGGAAGACCCCAGGCATTTGGTGCAGGGGTGAAGGGGCAGAGGGGGTTGGAGGGGCACATTCACAAGGTAAGGACAGACCCTAACATTGGTTGAGCATCTGTCAGATGCCAGGGATGGTGCCTAGGTGATTCACTCTAATCCTCCAGCCCTGACAAGCAGGCCTTCTTATTCTCACTCTCTGGAGACAAAAATGAGGCTCACAGAGGCTACCCTGGGTGAACTCCAAAGCCCTGCTCTTCCCCGAAATCTCACAGGGCGGGGAGAGGAGAAGGTGAGGGGCATGAGGTGAGCTCCAGGTGGAGGGGACCCCGACCTGAGCCCCACGATGACACCCTCCCTTGGGTGCAGGCAGATCCGGGAGACAGCCGGCAGGGCGGGGGCTGTGAGGGCAGCGAGGCCAGGGGTCACTCACCGTGCTCAGCAGCGGCATGGGGTAGCAGGAGCTGGAGGACAAGGACCACTAGGCAGAACGTCATTGTCGCCAGTCTCGACATCGGAGCTCGGAGGGCAACGCGCCTGCCCTTCACCCTCACAGGCACTGGCAAAATAAACTTCAGCCGAGGAACCCCAGAAATAAATGGGCCCCAGAGCCCTTTGATCCCTGAGACACTGGGGATCCGGGGGCCGGCCCAACTTGAGTCAGTCGGGGAGCTTCACTCATGACGGGGGTGCAGGGCCTGTTCCAGGCCAAAGGGCAGAGGGAGGGGAGCCCCTCCCCGGCCAGCCAACACAGCACGCGGGCCATCAGATTTGTTGCCCCAATAGAGGGGCAGGCACAGGCACCTGAGGCACTGGGGGAACCAAGGAGGCCCCTGGAGCGGGGTGGGAGCTGGAGGAGGGGGGCTAGGCCTGAGCCCGAGAGGAGAAGGGCGCCCTGTGTTTGACTCCAGCCCCTGGCAAGGAGACCCCGTCCCCTCTTCTCAAGCCCTCTTTACTGCCCCTATGGGTACCTCACCAAGACATGGGGAGCAGGTCATGGCCACACCAGGGCCAGTGCCCAACCCTGGGATGGCTGACAGTTCTTAGGTCTGTGGGCCCAGGGATCTGTGGGTTCATGGGTGAGCACGGGACCCTGTGGCCATCTGGAGTGACCTTGGCCCCCCCTCAAGGTCAGCAGAGCCAAGTGCTCACTCCTTTGCCCCCACCCCTGACACCCTGGGCCCGAGGTCCACTCCCCTCCCCAGGACCTGACCCTGGGCTCATCTGCCACAGAGACCTCAGGCAGATGTGGGCCTGGCCCTGCCTCAGCCTGGAGCAGGTGAGGGGCTCCATGCTCCCTGTGGGCACAGGAAGGAGCCGAGAGCATCCCGTGTCCAGATTCGGCACTCAACCCTGAGAAGAGTGCTCCCCCCAACAAGGACCTTCCTGGAGACCTGGGCCTGCAGCCAGGCCCCTGCAGGGGAGGGAAGAAAACCACACACACCATGCTCTGCACTTTGAAATTTGCTCTTTTATTGGTGGGGTAATTGCAGAGTGAGGAGTCACCGCGGAGCAAACAAGGATGCCGAGTGTCCAGGCAGTGTTGGGGCTCCCAGATGGGCGGCGAGAGAGCGGAGAGTGGCTCACAGCAGGGGCCAGGGCCAAGCCCCCCCCAGTTCTGAGCAGGACCTGCCTCGAGCCCTAATGCGTTTCCTCTTGACCAATGCGGGGGCCTGTGGAGGGCTCTCTACCACAGTCTCGTCATCCAGATCTGGGTGAGGGGCTGGAGCTCCTGTCCTGCTCACGGAGCAGTTGTCACCACCCGGGGCCTCTGAATGTGGAGCTGGGGGGTGGGAGAGAGGAGGTGAGGCCAAGGGGGCCTGCGGCAATGGCCATGGCAGGAGGGAGTGACCTGCCTCTGGGCCGAGTGTACCCCACCCTCCCCAGGCAGCCCCAGGGTGGTAGGGGCAGGGGTGAGGGGAAGGGAGCAGCTCCTAGCTGGGGGTGGGCCCCTGAGTCACCTCTGTGTTGGGGTTAACATTCCCCAGGGAGGGCCGGAAGTGGCTATAGGCATTTTCAAGGCCGAATTTGTCCTTCAGATTCTGATCTGTGGGGAGAGAAACTGGGTGAGGGTGAGCCTGGGGGAGCCTGGAGGGATACAGAGCAGAGATTTTTTTCAGTAAAAGGAGCAGTTTGAAGAGGCAGTCCCATATCTGCCCTAAACTATTTTCCCACTGCCCGTCCATCCTTCCACCATCGCAGCTTATCTACAAGGTGGGTCTTGATGACGGGAGCATGCCTGGGGAGCTGGCCCAGTGTGACGCAGGGACAGGAGGGAACCAGAGCAGCAGCCCTCTGATGTGCCTCCAGGTCACAAGTCACGGCCACGGTGAGCGCGGGCCACGGGCGGCACAGGGGTGACTGAGGGTGAAGCAGGAGGAAAGTTCTGCTCAGGGTTATGGGTGCACACTCCGCCATAGCAACGGTAACCACAGCAGGCCGCAAACAGCTGTGTCTGGAATCTTCTCGTTGGAGTTGGCATGCGTTCAGCACCCGCTTCCCCAGTCCTGCAGCTCATTCCCTCCTCAGTTCTCCTGGCACCTCCATGACCTTCTCTGCCTGCTTCTAGGTCCTCGCCGGCCCTGCCTCCCACCCTCCTCACGGGCATCCTCCTCATGGGGGCTGAGCTGAGCTGATGACTCCCAGCAGCCCGCAGGCCACTGCCCAGGCTTCAGACAGCCAGAGCCTGTGGCGCTCCCCCTCTGCACCCCGCCAGCCCCCACACGCAGCAGGCCCCACCTGCTGCCTCTCCCCTCTGCGCCCCAGCTCAGGCAGTGCCCCCTCCCCTGAAGCCTGCAAGCAACAAGCCCTGCCCAGCTCACTGACATCTAAACTATTTCATCAGTCCACTCCTCCCATCCCCACGGCCCCCATTCAGCCTCAGCAAACCTCGTCTGCACCTGCATTACTGCAGAGCCACTTCCCTGGTCTCCCCGCTTTAGTGCTGAGGCCCCCAAACCCATATGAGTGAGTTGCTCAAAATGCCCCTCCCTTAAAGCCCCTCCGGTGGGTCCCCCCATCACGGCCCACAAAGCCCTCCATGACCCGGCTCTGCCAACCTCACATCCCACTGGCCTGCCTTCGGTTCCCCCACAGGCCATGCTCGTTCCCACCCCATGCCTTTTCTGAAGACGTGCCCCCTGCTGGAACGCTATTTCCCTCCTCTTGGCTCCTCACTGGGCTCTACATTCTTGGAAGCAGGAAGCACACAGCTTACTCACCAGCTTGTAGCACTGACCCTTGTCCACAGTGCAAGGATCAGGCACCACCACCTCTGCAGCCTCCTCTGAGCCCACCCCGTCCCGGGCTGGGTCAGGCATACTCTGTGCCTTGTGGATCCCTGGGCACGGCCCTATCATCCCACCAAGTGTGTGTGCATCTGATGCCCTCACGGAGTAGTCTCCCAGGGGCAGGATCCAGCTCTCAGCCATCCCTGTAGCCCCTCCATAGTGTTTGTCAGGAAGAAGTGGGAAGGTGGGATTTGCTCAGGCGCAGGGATGAGGGGATACAGAGATGCTGGGGGCGGAGGGTTCGGTAGCGAGAGATCAGAGCAGACATGACTGCCGGTTTTCCACAGCAGCTGAGTGTGGTGCCGCAAGGGGCTCTGGGAGCCAGAGGAGGCTGAACACATGGGAGGCTCCACGGAGGAGCAGCGTTTGACCCTGATCTTGGAAATAGAGTGGGATTGGGGTGTGCCGAGACTCGGGAGAGGGGAACCTTCCAGATAGCGGTGCAGTGCATGCAAAGGCGTGGAGGAGGGACAACAGTGGGCGCGGGCCATGCACAGACTGGAGGAGCCCAGGAAAGACTGGAAGGTGAGCAAGGGCTGCCCGTGGGGGCTCTGCCTCAGGAGGCTGGCTGCTGCGGCAGACGTGGGGCGGGCTGACAGGACGTGTGAGCCGCCCACAGCCACTTGGGGCCTTCTAGGCCTTTCACCACCCTCAGCTCTGCCCCCACCCTTGCCCCTGAGGAGAGGTACCTTCCCAGATGCGTGTGTTCTGGAAACCGCCAGGGATGCCTTCTCCTTGCCACTCTCGAGACAGATTGTACTCTTGCCTGTCAACAGAAACGCCGTGAGCAGCTGGTGGCAGCTGGCAGAGGAGGGGGCTCAGAGGTCCCTGACCCTCGACTTCTGGAAGGGGCTCTCATGACCAAGGCGAGTCAGGGAGGGGCCTGCCCCCAGCGGCGGCGGCAGAAAACAAGGAGCATGCCTGGGGACATCACCACGGCCTGCCCCCCCTTCGCTCCCCTCAGCAGGCCTCAGTTTCCTTATCTGTGAGATGGGGGCATCAGACTAGAGTCAGGGCAACTCCCTTGAACTGCCAACTGCCAGCCAGGTGCTGTACTGGGTTATTTCATGGCAACCTCCTCAGGTGGATCTTATCCTTTTTGCAGCTGGGGAAAGCGACACCAGATGTGTCCCGGTGTCCTAGTGTGACAGTTGCTCGGTGGCAGCCAAGGTGATAACAAACACCAGATAATTTCAGTACATAAGTTTTTGTTTCTATTTCTCCGCCAGATGGAAATATCCTATCTTATCAGCAGGCTGCCCTTTGCTGTACAGAGCTGGGATGGGCCGGGTCCCCATCGGGTCTTGGCTGACCTCCAACTGCTGAGCCGGAAGGAGCAGAGCCTTGGGATATTCCAATGGTGGGCCCCTCTCACTCCCCAGCTCACCTGTCCAGTTTTCTCTGGGCTCGGCTGAGGAAGATGGACAGGGCAACCACCAGGACCAGCAGCACCACCACCACGGCCCCCACAATCCAGTACACCAGGCTCTTGCTGATGGTGTAGTCACAGGTCTCTCCCAGGTACCAGTGCGTGTCCGAGGTCGGGCATCTGGGGACACGTGCAAGTTCAGGGCAGCCCACCGGCATCCCTCACACCCAGTCTCCCAAAACAAAAAATCAAGGTCAAAGCACAAGAAACGGACTCTCCCTCCGAGGGCAGGGGCTAGGCACCCTCCCTGACGCCCCAAGACTAAGGGGTGGTGAGGGGGTGGGGGATCTCGGAACTGCAGAGCAGGAATTCAGAATCTGAGTGTCGGGTGCCTCGTCCCAGACACGTGATGTTCCCCCACCTAACCTCTAAGCCATAGCTAGAGGTGATAATGGCACCATGGCTAGGGTGATGGATGACAGAGATCCATACATACAGATTTGGAAATGGATAACTGGAACTTTCTCAGGACGGGGCTTGCTCAGTCTTAGGGTGTCCACATCTATAATCTGCACCTCCCCCTCCCTCTGGGGGACCCAAGTAGAGGAAAGAGGGATGTAAAGGAGGGACACGGAGGCACCTTGCAAGCTCTGCCCACCCCCACCCTGCCCCCGGGTGACTGCAGGGGAGGGTACAGCCCTACCACCAGAGAGGGCAGACCCTGGGCTTGGAGGGGCCGGGCACTTACACGCAGCGGGGACCACTTTGCTCCAGCTGGCACTTGCCCTGGTGACAATCCAGTTGTGACTTTGTCCCCGGGGTGCACTTGGTCACACAGGCCGGCTTCCCGTCCAGCTCATCCACATAGTAGAATGGGGCTAAGTCCTTCGCAGCCTTCTGAATGCATTGCTCTGGGGGGAGGGGTGGGCAGCAAGCGTCAGCCTGGTTAAAGACCCCCCAGCCCCCACGTTTACTGCCCACACTCTGCCCCCCGCCCCACCCGCTTACCCTGCAAGTCAAAACCCAGCTTCACCATCTCGCTCACAGTGGTGGCCTCCTGGCTGAAGCACATTGTTGAGAAGGCTGCTAAAGGTGGTAGAAGAGAACAGAATAGAAATGCTGCCCTCTGCCCCTCGGGGGTAGCCAGCCTCCCCTTTCTTCTACACCATGCCCTCTATGCTGGGCTAACACTACTAGAGTCTTGGCTCATCCCTAGATGCAGCGGGGCCTGCAAGCAGGCTCAGAGAGGAAATACGGGCTGGTGACAACCTCAGCCCTGGACTGGGAGGGGCTGCTGGGAGCAGCGCAGAGTTTGGGGAGGGCACCTAGGCTCAGCCTCTGGGTTCCTATAGCGAGGTCTCTGGAGTTCCAGAAGGGAGGAGAGATGCAGGGTGGGGGTGGGGAACTGAGACTTCTCTAATGGACCCCTCCCATCCTTTCCCCGCCAACATCAGGGGGTTTTAGGTGGACTTACTTTGGCAGTCCTCAGACTCCTGGGGTAGCCTTTCGGTCTCATTTATAGCCTTGGCCTTTATAATCTTAGTGAGGTTTGCAAACAGCTCCTCAAACTCTGATGTGTAGTCTGCCTCCAGGATGATGTCATATTCCACCACGATGCTGCCATTGCTGGAACCAGGAGTCAGCAGTTCATTGGTCACCCCGAGTCACCCACCCTCCCAGCAAGTGAGGCCCAAGAAGCAAGAGGGGTGATGAGAGACAATTAGCCACATGACCCGGAGGCAGGAGAGAACTAGACTCTTCCCTCCAGCAGTTAACAACCTAAGATCCCAAAATATCAGTGATCACAATAAATGCCAATGGGCAAAATTCATTCCTAAAGATGGAGACTCCTGGGGGAAGATGTAGAGAAACTGAACGCTTGTGCACTGCTGATGGGAATGTAAAATGGTGCAGCTGCTATGGAAAACACCATGGCAGCTTCTCAAAAATTAAAAATATATTTACCATATGATCTAGCAATTCCGCTTCTAGGTATTTATCTAAAAGAACTGAAAGGAGGGAAGTGAACAAACATTTGTACACAATATTCACTGCAGCGTGAATATTGTGTACAAATGTTTGTTCACTCCCCTCCTACCTACACATCTAAAAGAACTGAAAGGAGGGATTCAAAGACATATTTGTATACCCATGTTCATAACAGCATTATTTGCAAGAGCTAAAACATGGAAGCCACCAAGTGTCCATTGGTGGATGAATGGATAAACAAAATTTGATATATATGTAGAATGGAATATTATTCAGCCTTAAAAATAAAGGAAATTCTGACACATGCCACAACATGGATGAAACTTGAGGACATTATGCTAAGTGAAATAAGCCAGTCACAAAAGGACAAATACTGTGTGATTCCACTTATATGACGTAACTGGAGTAGTCAAATTCATAGAGACAGAAAGTAGAATGGTGCGTGCCAGAGGTAGGATGAGGGGGAATTGGGAGTTAGTGTTTAATGGGTATAGAGTTTCGGTTTGGGAAGATGAAAAATTCTGGAGATGGATGGCGGTGGTGGTTGCACAACAATGTGAATGCCACTGAACCGTACACTTAAAATGGTTAATGGCAAATTTTATGCTATGGATATTTTACCATAATAAAAAATATTTTAAATAAGGAAATTAAAAATAGAAGCTCTTGGATTATATTTTGAAACCCAAATAAGCAAGCTTATATAAATGAAAAAACATGAGTTGACTTAGAAACATAGAATTCCAACCCAGAAGCTTCTTGTTAGATGGCAAGCAATGCTGCTGAGGGGAGAGACCTTGGGACAAGGTCAATCACCGCTCACAGCCATTGTGACAGAGAAGTCAGTGAGCAGGACCCAGGAGCACTTGAACCAACAAAATCCTGAGCCAAAATGGAGACAGAGATGATGGTGCTGATGCTGAGCGGAGGGTGAGGGTGGCGGCAGAGGACGCTGAGCTAGGAACCCCATTGGCCCTTGACAGTGTGGATCTCCCTCCTTCCTGAGACCCTTTCTTCCCCCAGGTGCTGGGACATGACACTCTCCAGGCTTCCTTCCCACCCCTGTCTGCTTCTTTCCATTCTCCTTTGGGGGCTGTGCTTCTCCTGCCTGACTCTTAGATAATGGGGTTTCCCAAGCTTCTTTCCTGGGACATCTTCATTCCTGTGCTGTGACCACTCCCCGGGGTCCAGCAGTATCCATCCAGGGATGCCAACACCTGTGTCCACTGCAGACCCTTCCTATCACATGTTTAACCACTGGCTGCTCCATCACTCACCCACTCCACATGGCTGGGCTCCAGGCACTTGAGACTTGACAAGGCCCACATCGAATTCATCTTCTTCTTCCCTCATCCTACTCCTCCTTACGTTCCTCATCCCAGCAAAGGGCACCCTACACTCCCAGCAGCCCAGAAATCTGGTGTCATTCCTGCTTCTCTCCTCCCGCCCACTGAATCTTCATGATCTGCTGGTCCTGCCCCCAGTCCTGCACTGGACTACTTTTCTGCTGCATTGTCGCCTCTCTGACCCAGGCCACCATCATTTCATCCCTTGTCCACCCATTCTCAGCCCAGCAGCCAGACTGAACTGTCTGCAGTGCAGATTGGGTACTATCCCATGGGGGCTGAAACTGCCAACGCTTAAAGTCTAAATAACTTGGCATGGGTCACCTTTCCTACCTCCTGTCCCACCACAATCCCTTTGCCCCCAAGCAGCCAACTATTCTTTACATTCCTGACATCTGCCCTCCTTTCTCTCACCTCCGGGCTCCTCCTCATCGATTCCCTCTGCTGTAACACTCCCCTTCCCTCTACTTGGTTCATTCCTCTGCATCCTTCGAGCCTCATCTTAACTGTCACTTCTTCCAGGAAGATTGCCCTCCACCTCACCGAGCTTGCTTTCAGGACCTCTCCCATTGCACCCTGCATGTCCCTTACCATAACTCTAACCAGACTGCACAGCCATTGTCCCATCTGTGTTCTGCCACTCTAAGCTCCATGAAGACCAAGACCACTGTCACTGTTCCCAGCACCTAGCACGGGGTAGGCTTTCGATACAAATTTGTTGAATGGATGAATGACGAATAAATGAATGAATGAATGGACTCAGAGCCCTCAGGTGTTGCCTCCGGGCTCAGAGCCCCTCTGGCCCAGCCAGGCACTGATACTCTACCCATTCATGATAGGAGGAGGCGGGAGAGCAGGGAAGAGAGAGAGAGGGCTTCCCACAGTCTATAAATCTACCCCCCGCCCACATACTCACAGCAGTCTCCTAATGATCAAGCCTCCGTACTGGACAAAGTCTTCACCCTTGTAAGCTTCATCCATCTGAAATAAACGAGACAGCTGACTCATATAGGCCGGGAGGGTGCAGCAGCCCATTTCCTGTCTCAGAGGGCAGCCCCAGGGCCCTCTCCCCAAGGGAGCCCATGTATTAGCCCATAGGAAAGACGGAAAGAAAGGCATAGGGACACTCCTTCCACCAGGATGTGGGTGGGGCAGACCTCAAGAAAGGGCTCTCAGAAGGCCCCCTCTATGGACTTGGGAAGACTGAAGAGACCCATGAGCTGAGAAACCCCAAAAAGTAAGATGAGCCTCTGAACCCCTCTCATATTGGACACCCACAGTGGAGAATTTGGGCTTCCCCTGTTCTTACCTGTTTCTTGAATTGTTCAGTGAAATTCCGGTAAGCCTGCGAGGATATGTTATTCAGGTCTGCTGTGAAATTCCTGTTAGTCACTCTCATTATCACACCCACAGTGGCGTTGATTTTTTCCGGGATTTCTGTGGGAACAGGCCACATTATGTATGAGACAGCAACCTCCCAGTGATGTCTCCTGGGATTGGTTAATCCTCCACCTGTTGGTCTCAGGGAGGCAGGGAAAGCGGGTAGAAGGAAGGATGGAAATTCAAGAGGCAGGTAGGAGTCGCTGAAACCTCTGCCCCTTGTCTCTGAATATCATGAGGAGCTAGTGGCCGGGATCACCAGCCAGAGAGAGCTAAGTGGAGGGCTCCAGAAAGGGTTGGGATAGAAACCACCTGATGAGAGGGGCAGAGGAGCTAGTGAAAAGGGTCCTGAAGGGGGAGGCAGAAGGCCCACGTTCTACCTGCGTTCTGGCCTGCGCAAAAGTCACATTTTCTCCTCTACTTGCACAAGGAGGCAGTGGTAGCAGATGATCCTTCCAGTGTTGCTCTCCTATTTTAACTGGTTAAGGGGTGTGGGGATGATCGGCAGGTCTCAGAAAAAGTCACTACCTAGAGAGAAGGAGTCCACAGGAGACTGGCACTGATAACAAACGAAGCCTGGGGCACAAAAACACTCTTCTCCATTCCAGATGGTCCCGTTCTGGCACTGCTCTGTGGAGGAGGAAAAGTTATAGCAGTCACTATGGAAGCGCAAGGACAAAAGCCGTGGCTCCCGTTTCAGGTCCCATCATTCAGACATTGCTGAAAGAGGGGGACGGGACCAGATGAGCAGTTGCCGACTGAGACACCTTTGCCACCCATGCAAGCCCAGAAGATACTGGGGAAAGGAAGGGGGACAATGGGGAAGAAGGAAGAAGAGATAAAAGAGGATGAGGAAAGATAACAAGAGTCCTATAAATTAAAAGAGAACAACATCCATCTGCATGGATGAGGTGCCTTGGCAACAAGAAGGTGCTGAAAGGGTGGAACAAGAGCACAAGACGTCAAAACTGATTAGCTGATGAGGGAAGATGGAGAGCAGAGGCCCATAGAGTGACATACAAGGAGACTTACTTGCTGTTGTAGGTGCAGAGTGGGTCGTCGTCACGGTTGTACGGGTGCTAGTGGATGGGGGACAGAGAGTTGAAACCGGACTGAGCTCTGTCAACGGAGAGTGGGTAGACCCAGGTGCAGTGTAGGAGAGAGGAGGAGAAATATCAGAAGTTCCAATGGCCGAAGAAAAGTCAGAGAAAGACGGGGAGGAGAGGCCAGGGATAGGTGACGCTGAGGATGAAGGGCCAGGGAAGGAGGATCCTGAGCTGTCAGATGAAATTGCTGTGTTTGGTGAATCTGAGCTGATTTGGAATATTGTAGATCCTCCATCGAGGTAGGGGGATGTTGGTCGAAAGGTGAATCTAGTTGTGGAAGAAGAGGTCACAGCTGATGGTGGGGAAGCACTAGGTCTCTCTGAGGAAGAAGGCATGGAAGTAGGAGTGCTGAGACTTCCAGCGGTGCCTTCAGAGGCAAGAGAAGGGGTAGAGAGGGCAGTAGGGCTGGATGGAGAGGCAGGACCAGCACTTTCGGTACTGGTGTAAAGGTGGTTAGGAGATGTGGATACAGACACCCCCGAGGTGATGGTGTAGAAAGTGGATCCTGGAGGAGGAGAAGTAGGTGTGGGTTCCGGACCACCTTGACTGGGAGGGGGCTCACTCGGCCCGCCTGTGGAAGGAGAAAAGACAGTGTTCTTGGCAATGGCGCTGGCCGAAATCAGCG